AGAGAGAGAGAGAGAGAGAGAGAGAGAGAGAGAATTGGGAGTAAAAAATTTGGAACACCACCACTGGATATAATTAGAAAGGTGGGTCTTGTGTACATTAACTTGAGTATTTGGAGAACAAGTGGGGTATAAATCTAACAAATAAGAAATATTAATTGAATATAGCGAAACACAACTGAAAACACTCTTCATCAATCTAATTTTCACAACACACTTTTCAAAATAGCAATAGCACTTAGACTTACCATATTTTTCTGACTATAAGACACACTCCCCTCCCCCCAAAAGTGGGTGGGAATGTCTGTGCATCTCATAGACTGAATATGCCCCTATTTTTGGCCTCCTGAAACCACCCCCACCCCGCGCGCATCCCGTTTTGCCAATGTACAGTTTTAACTGCATCAGTGCTTTCCAGGATGCAGGGTTAATGGTCTTAGTTTGAGTTACTTGTTTTATGTTTAGTTAAGCAAGTTGGAACGTAGTTACTTCAAATAAAAATCAGCCATGTACATTTTTATGGAGATGCAAGTTTGTATAGGTGTACACTCTCTCTGGAAATACTAACAGAGGAGGAATTGTCAAGACTCATAAACTTTTTAAAGTGTTTGCGGAAGGGGGGGAGAGGAGGGGGCACTTTGCATATTACAAACCTTACCCTGCCTGAATAGCTCTTTTACAGCAGTTGACAACACGGTGCTATGTGGTAGTGCTAATGTAATTTACATTTCTGGTTAACTGCAATTTAAAAGAATGTATCCATTTTAAGTACCCTAATTATTTTCTTTTACGAAACTTGGTGTAAACATGTGCACAATCATACATTTCAGTATTGGTATGGCTTCTTGATAAGGATACAAAAGGAAAATGTCGACTTTAGCAAAGAAATCCAACCCAGTCTCTTATGCAAACTGTTTAGTTCCAGGTCTGATAACTTATTAATTCAGACTGTTAACATGTTTAGAAGCTTTCTTTAGTTTCCTCCTGCTCCGATGTCAAATTTCTCTATACAAGAAAGCCCTGGTATAATAAGCTGAATACTTGATCAGCACAATGCCTTGAATTTTAATGTTGCTAACTTTGCTTCAAACTGGTTTGGGAAAAGAAGGGAAACACTTTGTCTCACTTGTTCCAGAGGCTGCCAAAGTTGGGGGTTGGCTTTCTTTAATTTAAATGAGAAATTAATGATTTCAACAGAAAAGGGCCTAACTTCGGCTCTCCTTTTCCTTTCCACAGATTTATACAGATTGGGCCAATCATTATCTAGCAAAATCTGGCCATAAACGTTTGATAAAAGATCTGCAGCAAGATGTGACCGATGGAGTTTTACTGGCTGAAATCATCCAGGTGGTAGGTGAGTAAATATGCCTTTTATTTTTGGTATAGTTGCAATATTTTTGTCCAGAGTGTTTTCTGTCAGACCAATAACTAAAGTACATTAGGCTGCAACATTACACATAATGTGTAATTGTAGGAATTTTAAAAATATATGCATATGGTACATACATTGTTGTTCCTGTAGGTTTATTAAAAGGTCTTACAGAGTATTATGGAAAAGACTTACAGAGTTCTCAAACCTCACCTAACATTTTTTTTAATTGCCTAGAATTGCTGATATGGATACAAGGCTACAGTCAGACAAACCACAGATGAATTTGAGGCTTCGTAACTTTTCATGATGAAAGTATGGCACTTAACTTTTGACTTGTATGCTGTGACATACACTCTATTTCATGCTGTGACATAAAATATGATCAGAATAAAGTAACGAAGCAATGGAGCAAGGCCAAAATTTCATTTCAGTTTATTTAAATTAGATTTAAATTTAATTATGAAATTATGCAGCTAATATGATTAGTCTCACTGCTTCCCACAGCAGTATTGATCTTCTTATGCTCTAAAGAGGTACCTTAGATAGTTACAGTTTTTCAAATATCAAATAATTTTTTCATTAGCTACATTTGATGTTTTAAAACAAGTCCCTAAATCAGAATGACTTTATCTTATGCATCTATGGAAGCAATAAAGTATCTTTTTTTTTTCTTTTTTGCACCCTGAATATGAGAATACCTTATCTATTCCTTATTTAAAGACTCCTTACAGTTTTATGTAGGTTTTCTTCACATACAAAAAGTCCAGGAATCTGTTACCTTTAACAAAATTATTTATCTAAGAACAGATATGCATTTCAGACTAAAAATTATACAATTTAAATATGAACTTTCAATGGAAGTGACCATATAATCCTGAGACAATAGTGAAAATTAGCATTTAGGGACTCCTGCTACAATTTTTTTTCAAGTTTTAATGTGTGCCTTTTATGGCACATAAATGTCATATAAAGAATTAGGAAGACCTTAATGCACTCTCATGGCCTTTTGCAACTTGATTCTTTCTTCTTCTGTGTTGCGTGGCCCAGACCTGCAAAGTTCTCTTGACATGTTTTGGAAGTAACTCTTATTTATGGTTGACCTGCATAACCTTAGGATACTTCTGCATGAATCTGTCTTGATATCTGGTCTGGAAATCTCAGTTGGAAAAAAATCAGAAGAACTCAGAAGCCAGAAAGTGTATCATGCCATATCAACAAACTGTATCATGCCATGTAGAAAATATGGTGTAGACTGTGGTTTGTTTCTTGGAGAAATGATAAGCATTGGTTTTTAGCTTTCAAACTCTTGCAGCAGGCTTGAGCAAGTTTTTTTTTTTTTTAGTGAAAGATGATATGTAACATATTTAAGATTGAAATATACTTGGGGCAGAGCAAGGCTGCATTCTGAGGAGGAATTCTGTTCTTTCTTTGACAATAATGATATGCATGGAGATATCTATCTATCTATCTATCTATCTATCTATCTATCTATCTATCTATCTATCTATCTATCTATCTATCTATNATTGATGGCTTCATCTTCCTCCACCTCTGGGTCAATGGCATAGCAGACGTCTATGATTCGAAATGCTCAGTGATTAACAGGTCTGCCACTTGTACGATTGAAAGATTTAGCATCAGCATCAGAGGAAGGCTGGGTAGCCCTACACACATAGGCAAGGTGCCCCATTTTGCTGCAATACCGACAAACCGCTGTCTTGAATCGGCAAGTTGAGCATAAATGATTTCCTCCGCAACTGAGGCAACCCGCCTGAGGTAAATCAGCGGGGATTCTCCTTCTTCTTGTGGCACTTATGTTCAATTGGCTCACCTCTTCAGGTAACCATAAATCTTCATTTCCTTCCACTTCTTGTTGATTCACCACAGAAAGGGAAACTGGTGGGTTATGGAAAGATTGATACTTTTTTATCTCGGCAGCCTATCGATCGGATTGCTTGGCTGCTGTTGCTTCATCCATGGCTATGGATAGATTTAAGTCAGAATGAGCCAGTAAGCGGCATTGTAAATGGGGGTCTTTTATGCCACAAATTAACTGCTCTAACAGCGCGTCATCCAAATCAGGGAATTCACAATGGATAGTGGTGTTTCTTAAAGCGGCCACATATTTGCTCACCATCTCCATCTCCCCTTGAATACACTGATGAAAAGTGTACCGCCTTGCGAAACAGAAAGGTTTTGGAGCATAGTGGCCTTTTAGCTTCGCTAATAAAGTGTCCCAAGGTACTGTAAAAACTTGGGCTGGTGCGGCTAAAGCTCAGGCAGTAGCAAACATCTCAGGCCCAGAAGAATTAAGAAATACCCCCGACGTCTTTCGTCCGAAATGTCCTTAAAGTCATTTGCGAATAGAAAGCATTCGAACCATTCAATAAATGACTCCCAAGATTCTCTCTTGGGCATGAAGACAGCAAATGGGGCGGTAGTCGCCATAATACTGATAAATTCAAATATTTTAAAGATTTCTGGAATTGACGCTATTGTTTGAGTGGGACCTTTCCTCAGAATCCCATTCTCGTCTCCAGGTATAATGTACTTAGCATCTGAGGTAATAAGTAGACTCTGCGTTTATGCAACAAGTTTATTTTCAACTAAGCAACCAGAACAAGATAACAATTTAAGCTCTGACAGCTCTTTTATACTCCCAGCTGTCAGAGAGTTAACCAATAACAACGCACCAAATTTCCCACCTGAATGCAAACACAATTAGTCCAATCAGCTAGCACCAAGCTTGATTGACAGTAGGGGGCGGGACACATAGGGATGTAACATTATTAGTACCTCACTTGATCTTGATTATATCCCTCTGTATTTATTAATTTAGTTTGTCAAATTTGTGCAAGATAACAGGTATAAGTATATACATGGACATGAACAAAGGAAATGTGTACAAATAAATCTTAATGCAATTTAGGATTGTATTGGCTTTTTTGGCTGCCACTGTACACTGCTGGCTCACATTTAGCTGGTTGTCCCCTAAGACTCCAAGATTCATCTCACAGTCACTGCTATCAAGCCTGGTTTCACCCAGTTTATATCTGTACTTGTGTTTTTTCTTGCGTAAGTGCAGGACTTTACTTTTCTCTACATTGAATTTCATTTTGTTTAGATTGGAAACAGTCGTCAAGTCTGGGTCTGGAGCCTATCTTCTAGGGTTAGCTGTTACTTCTAGCTTAGT